GTTTATTAAAATCAACCAACCCATTTTTCTTTTCTACTAAGAACTACATAGTCTTGAGTCCTCATCGCACGAGAGATGCGTAGGAGTGAGATTCACCGTCTCGTCAGGCACAATAATAAAAACCCAAAAAGCCCTTTCTTTTTTCCATTTTGCATAATAATTAGAAGATCGAAAATAACATCACGCTAACACTCTTTCGCAAAAATAACTAAATGGGTCATGTTCAGTACAATGGATGTGAGGGGTGCTAATGCGTTTCCCTTGCATAACATACTCCCAAACTCTCTTTTGGTTGCGACGACAATATCTCCGGTCTTCGAGGGTCTTATCGATGTTTTCCCTTTCCTTTGGAATAAATAAATTTCGGTGGCAACTATGTTGTATTTCGAACGTGCGATACACTAAGGTATTTTTTGCGCCGCATCACATTGGATATGAAATTCTGGCACACACATACCAGATGTCGAATCAGATGTTACGACACTTGAATCAAATAAGAGCAACAATAAGAACACTTATACAGATAAAATAAATTGCTGAGAATAAATAACACAAGTAAATGTTAACCCAGTTCGGTGCAACGTCACCTACTCAGGGGCCATTCAAGCCATGAAGGAAATCCACTATAATAGTATTAATTAGAAGCCTAAATAACCCCTGATTACAATATCTTTCCTAATCACTACCAATGTAACTTCTACCTAGGACACTCCTAGATATGAGAACCCCATCTCACTTCCCACAATCACACCCCTGTGATTTTCAACAACAATGATGGACCAAAAGTAGAAGACACTCTTCAAAGGCAATATCAGTTCTTCTTAAAATCTTTTAACTAATGAACAAAAGACAACTTAAAATGTAATCCACTATTTCTTAAAATCTCACGAGTGATTGACAATGAACAACCTAAACATAGTCAAAATATAATATCATAAGATAATAGAGTGGATCACAATGAACAAAGAACAAACTAAAAACCCTAAAACCTTATCTCATGCACACAGTTTGTCCAACTGTTTTTAGGTATAGAAATTCCTTATATAAAGACTCTTGCAGTATGGGCTTGGAATCTTCACGCAAATCCAATATTCAAGCTGAAAATCTTTTACAAAATCTTCTCCATAAAAATAGGAACTAAAAAACAAAGTTTTCCAAAAAGTCTCCAAGATCCTTTTATGAAACCAAATCAAATCTGCAATGTTCCTAAAATATCCTTGCTTGGTTGCGACCATATGAGAACTAAAATCATTCAAAATCTCACATTTTAAACACAAATCTCCAAAGATATAAAAACCTGAACTATACTGATGTTCAGGTATAACATGTTAAGACATCTTCCAGAACATTTGTCTTCAGTGATGTCTGATCAACATGTCAAGACATTTGTCACAACATCTTGCAGTGAACTATGTTTTAGCAAAATTACTGCCAATCATAAAACCATGGATCTAACAATCTTCCCCCTTTGACAAATTTTGGCTAAAACATCCTTTGGAAGATACAGCTGGAGATACAAACAAACACAACAACAAAAAATCACAAAATACAAGATACATGAACATCATGCATACTTGAAAAATTAGCAAACAAAAACAATCAGAGATCCACACAACAAATAAAGCTACACACAACAAACCCTTACAGAGAGACCCAACCTCACACACCTAGAGAATTAAGAACTCTCATACTCCAAAATTTCACTAGAGACCAGATGTCATGACATTATATCTGACATCACAAACAAAAACAACCTCTCAACACAAACAAATCCCCCTAACACATGGAATCAAAACTCCTCCTCAAAGGAACATCCGCAAGCATAAAAAATAAACCAAACACACAGATGCTACACAAAAAAAAATAGTTTCACAATAGAGACATAACATGATCGCAAGAGAACAAATCCACACAACTACTTCTCCCCCTTTTTAGCCATAATTTTGACAAAATTAGCCATGTACTCATTGGGAGCAGAAAAATATTAGCTCATCATACTGTAATATCCACACATTTAAATCTATCATAAACCATCCTGAACTCCTTACTCATCTTACTGACATATTTCTTAGAAATGTTAATAATGAATTCATTTATCAGCACCTTAGAGCATTTTCCAAGGTCATCAATATTCTTCATCAACCCATCTACTTCAATTAGATCTACCACCTTTTTAAAGTAAAGAGAATATTTACCAAGATCGATTTCCAAAACCAACCTCCTTTGGTATATTTATACTTCCATTTTCCACCATACTCTACAGAGATGTTGTCAATGGGAATTTCATGCACATTAGCATAGATCCTTTTCCCTTAAGTTTTCTTCACATGAATGATGTTTTGAACATTATGTTCAATATCACTTGGAGTCACTTGAAGATGCTTCCTTCCTTTTCTTAGCAGAAGCAACCATCTTGCTCATCCCTTTAGTAGATTCAGCAGTATCTTTAAAGGGCTTGCTTTCAGACACTAGAAGCTTCTCTTTCATATTCTCCAGTCTTTTGGCAATACCAGAAGTCTAATTCTCCCCTATAGACTCATGATCATAATCTAGCTCGTCTACATTGACAATGTCAGTATATTGAAGCTTCTCCTAAACAAATATTTTCTCTCTCAGCAACCGTACTATCCTTTTTAGAACTTTTTTTCTCATTGATAACTGATTCTATTTTAGAATTCTCAAGAGCCTCAATGTCATGATTATCAGTTTGGGCTAAAAATGTTATAACATTTAGCATAACATCAGTATCATTTTCAAGAACAAGAATTTTAGACAATGACTATATCAACAAAGCCATTATCATCATTCACATTCTCAGAGATGAATTTCTCAGTTGTTCTATTATTAGCGCTATATTTGAAATATCATAACCTTTAGCAGAAGTGCGAATATCGACAGTTCGAGAAGGACCAAGATACAAACTTATCATAAATTCAGGTTTCTTGACAGCTACACAAGATTCAACACTTATAGGAGAAATTTGAATATGGAGTGTAGAAAAGAAAATACATAAAGTTTGTAATGCTTTCCCTAGAGTTTCGTGCACTACCAAATGGATGCAAGAGAAAAGATCATTTGCACGTCTCCATACTTGTAATTTCTATATCTCATCAAAAATACAAATTCCCATTTCACCCCTTTCCTTTTAAACCTTCTTTGCATGAGAAATTTTAAAAAATATATCTGCCCGTTGATCTTCAGTGATCCCATGTCCAAAAGATGAAATTTTGCCTTCAATAAGGTCCTTAATAAGATGATGATGAAAGTCAACATGCTTTATCCTGCTATGTTGAATGAGTTTATTGAATATATTAATAGTAGTTAGATTGTCACAATATAATGTTATGACATCTTGCTTGACATTATGCTTTCTTAACATCTCCTTCATCCATAACTGTTGAGAACAACTGTTTCCTGCTGCAATATATTCAACCTCAGTAATAGATAATGAACTAAAGTTAAACTTCTTGCTGAACTAAGAGATGAGATTATTCCCCAAGAAGAACAATCCTCCAGAAACACTCTTTCTATCATCACCATACCATGTAGACTCAATGTTGGATTCATTGTCATCCTCATGTTTTGGATCATTAGTCTGCTGAGATAATGTTCCAACATCCTTTTTGAAATTAGCCAATTTTTGAATGATAGAGTCATCAACCACATCATTTAGAGATTCCATTATGGCTTTGGTTATGGAATTAAAGATCATATAACCTCTTCTATCCATGAATATCCCTTTAGTCCTTTTAGGGTCCATCTTCCTCCTTTGTTTTCTTTGAATGCATTTACAAAGGTCTTTAAGGATTTCAAGGATATCTATTTTTATTTGGTAAAGTTCACCGAAGTCCATCTTGAAAAATCATCAATGATTTCATAGACATATCTCTTTCTACCAGAACTGTCAACCTGCATAGATCCCATTAAATCTATATGAAGAATTTCTAATCCATTTGAAGTACTCTGACATTGCAACTTTGAATGTGACATATTGATTTGCTTCCTAATTTGACACTCACCATAACCTTTACCTATTTCAATGTTGAGTTTTGGCAGACCTCTAATAGCACTACAACAAAAATAACTTTTGGCAACAACGAAAAAAGACGATTTTGCAAACGGGGAATAAACGACCGTTACCTATTCCAATATGCTAGAGTTTTTGTACTTTCAACCACAAAATATTAAAACCGTTGACTAAATATATTAATAGGCTATGGTTTTTAAATTAATTTTAGACCACGATTTTGATTAAGCTACACGTTGTAGTTTAAATATACTACGGTAAATCTGTAGGTTTCCTGCGGATTATGTTTCGGATTTACCTGCGGATTTTGACTTTAGAGACTAAATTGTTAGTTTTTTGGAATGACAAGGTTGTCTTTGAAAAAACAAATTTTATACGGGGTAAACCATAAATGGCCTATATGACAGGGAGTAAAATGATAATATCCCATTCACTCTTAAACAAAAAAATAAAGTAAAAATATTTCCCTTGATTTTTAGACTAACTGAAGTAATAGAGTACTTTTATTGCATTCTCATAAAGAAAATGTTGTATTGTAAGGTATATCACTAAAATATGTTTACCATACACCATTTTATTTTGAGTTGCAATATTTTTAAGTATGATAAGGAGTAGGTTTCCCAATGTTGTTAGTCAATGAAAGAACAACAATGACATTCCATGACATGGATTGCAAGAGCATATTAATGTTTTATTTAACGTTGGTAAATAACTACAACATCAACAACAACAATAATAACACAAAACCTTGAAAGATACATAAGAAACCTTACATACTTTTACAAATACAATCTTTATTTATTTTAGTGCAACACTTACGCATATTCTTCTAATAAAAACAACACTAAAAGGCATAATGAATTGGAAAAATGATATCCAATGAGACACAATGCTAAAAGCATTATTAAACTTGCTTCTAAAGAAGAAAGGAAAACATAAAATATAATGTGTTGCTAAATCATTCCATTGCTTTTTATCCATAGAGGTGTATCTCTCTTTTATTTAAGAGTTGTATAGGTCTTGCATTCCTCTTTGCATGCTGCATAGAAAATGAAAATCAAATTCCATGTTTTATTTTCCAAATGAAAATGCTTTTTAGAAAGAAAAAAATGGAATCGCTAAATATATTTAATATGATTTAGCAGTGCACTACAAAAAAAAAAACAAATTAGAATACTTACATCATGGACAGCTTCTCTAAATAATTTCATTTGTGCTCTTGACACACTTCTTATCTGATAAACATTCAAGTATATATGTTCAGTGAATTAAACTAAGAATTGAAAAACTTTATATATATTTACATACTTAAAATAAATTATTTTATATAACGAACAATACCTTTTTGTTAATAGTCCAAATGACACCTTCAGTGCAAGGAGGGATAGTGAGAGAACCAATATATCTGTAATATTTCTTTCCACCAAACTTTATATTGGAGGGATTAATCACTCCAATACTCCTCTCTCCTTCGGTATCCACCAAAGATTTTATGTATTTTGACAACTGAAAAAAAGTATTTAGGTTTTTAAGAGTACTGCAGGAGGTTGGAAAATAAGCATTGAAAATAATGTTACCTTGGCTTACCTTGGCAAGAAGAGGATCTGGTCGACCAATCTTATATAAAAGCCCAACAACAGCTATCTTGCTTTTCCCTTTTCTTTTTGAACTTTCATGAACCATGTGTACCTCCATGGCAAACCTAATTTATATTTTAGTCCAATACAAAAAAAAAAATATTGAAACACATTATATACAAGGTTTTTAAAAAAATCGCACTCTCGAAGTTGCGTAAAAACTTTCGTGATTTTAGTCAATACAAGTGTCACATCACTGATTAAAGTGTTTACTGTGTGTATTTACCACAATTTATTATTTATTGTAAAAATAGTGAAAAATATTATCACTAGTCGTTTCAGTTTTGTCGTTGCTGTTTTCACAGTCGTCATTTGTTTTTTACCTGATTATACATTTGTTTGTACTTAAAAAATGTAATGAATATTGGGAAGTAATTAAGACAAACCTTCTACCATTGATGGTATGTTCAGAAGGTGAATGCCAATGGGCTTGATGTAGAAAAAATTCAGTCCCATTAATATTTATTGATCCTGCATCTCCCTCCCATTTCACCTACCATCATTTTTATAAACATATTTAGTATATTTTGGTCAAATCTTAATGAAAGGAATGATTTTAAGGATGATTAATTACCTGAATATCATGACCTCTATTTTTTAATGTAGCATTATGAGGCTTATAATTCTTTTTTAATTTTCCCAACTTTGTAACTATTCTCACTTTGTGATCTGCCATATCAATTGGAGATTGCATTATCCCATTTTTACATGTTGCCCATTCCTTCTTTAGTTCACCCCAATGTAAAGGTCCCTTTTTGCTCCCATTTATATAATCAAATTCAGTCTCATCCTCTGCACAACAAATACATATATGGATCATATTATTCAGATCATGCAACAAAATATGAAATAAACTTTTGATTTTGCTTACCAACTTCTTGTGCAAGGGTCCATGTTGTTGAAAGGAGTAGGATAGCTATAAGTATCAACACATATGAGAGGAACATTGGGAGTATTTTTTGGTGCTTCATGATGATGATTTAAGACAAAAAAGAGTGGAATATTTGGACGTAAATATTTGAATGAATAATGGAAGATTTATAGAGAAAGTTATCTTCAAATATTTTATTATGTACATATTTTCTATTATTCATTTAAAATTTTAAGTCTAAATATTACGTGGATATCTTTATTATTAAATAAATTACCTATTAGTTAATTACAAGTTTTTATTAATTACTGGTCAAATTAGAATTTTTATTTGGTAATTAATAATATAGTATCTAAAAAAATATGTTAATTATTTATTTTAAAACTTAATGGGTCATATTATTACAGTAACAATGTATCTTTCCAATTATAAAAGTCAAATAATTTGAATAGACAATTTTTTTTAAAAAGTATTATGATAAAAAAAGTAACAGTTTAATGTTAGTCAAATTCATTTAAGATCTTAGATATTTTCTCGGTCATATTCTTTAAATCAATCATTTTTTATCATTTATTTTAAATTTATTGAATCCCTTTTATAATAAAACAATAAAATATTATCTATATAATTATAAAAGTCAAATAATTTGAAATACACGACTTTTTCTAAAGAAAGCTTTATGATAAAGTAATAACAATTAAATGTTAGTAAAAAATTATTCAAGATAATGATATTGTAAATTTAGTGGATGAGATCAATTTAACTTAATTAAATTGACCAGTAATTAGTGGATGAGATCAATTTAACTTAATTAAATTGACCAGTAATTAGTGGATGATATTGTAAATTTAGTGGATGAGATCAATTTAGTGGATGAGAACAATTAAACTTAATTAAAAATATGGATGAGATCAATTTATCAAACATATTTTAAAATTTTAATAGATAATTTTTTTATCATTTATTTTAAATTTAGTGAATCACTTTTATAAAAAAACAATAAAAAATTATCTTTATAATTTGAAAAGGCAAGCCTTGTGAAATATACACATTTTACTTTAAAAAATGTTTTATAATAAAGAGATAACAATTAAATGTTAGTCAAATTCAATTAGAATCTTAATATCAGGATTTTCAAATTTCTTTTAATTTTAATAAGAGAACTATAAATTTCGTATCAGTATTTTTGGTTGCAATTCTTTTCTCTTTTCTTCCATTTATTTTGACGAAGAATATACGAATTTTTTACCAACATACACTTTTTTTACCAACTAAATCTCAATATACCATCTCATACATTCATTAATTTCAATCTACCCTCTTTTCAAACAAAAATTTTTTTTGCCACTACTCATCCGCCAATACAATGGGCGGAGGAGTGCAATTTTTCTTCATTCCGCATCTGCATTGGGCGGATGCTGTTAATAATAGAGAGGGTCCGCCCATAGGATGGGCGGATGTGTGCAACCGTGATTTTTTTTTTCTAAATTAAATTGATATAATTAAATAATATACATTATAATTAAACAAAATACACTATAATTAAACAAAATATACTATAAATAAACAAAAATTTCACTAAATTACATAAATTATTTTTTTTCATTTTAAAATATATAATTCCAAGACACATCTACTGTTGATTTTGACCGGATCGTGTCAATCGTTGGTGAGTTCCACAAGCAGGTGTTCGTCTAGTACGTTGGCCTGTTCTGCGATTTTCTTCTTCATTTTGTGGTTGAGTTGAAGTTGAAGGTCCCGCGTCACACCCGCCCATTAAAAATTCCTCAATCATGTCCTCATTGGTATAGTCTGTCTCGGCTGCACTGCCATAACTTAATATGGTTCCCTCCCAATTCCAATTTGGTATGGGATTAGAAGACATTGGGCTATTTATTGAGGGTTGGTAACAATCTTGGGAGGTAAATTGTTGTGGTCGGGGAATAGGCATTTGTTGTTGGGGTGTCTGATAGTTGGGATTATGTGGGGTTTGTTGAGTGCCCCATTGGGTGGGGTTAGATGAAGGATATTGTTGTTGGGTGCGCCATTGGGTGGGGTTAGATGAAGGATATTGTTGTTGGGTGCCCCATTAGGTGGGGTTAGATGAAGGATATTGTTGTTGGGTGTCCCATTGGGTGGGGTTAGATGAAGGGTTTTGTTGATGGTATTGTTGGCTTGGGGTAAAAGGTGGTTGTGTTGGGAAGAAAGGTTGTTGGGTAAAAGATGGTTGTGTTGGGAAGAAAGGTTCTTGGTTGCTCATGAATGGTTATTGGGTGTAAGTGCTTGATGATGGTCAGGTGTGTTGGAGGTTTGAAGATGTTGGCAAATTACGAGGGTCATATAAGAAGTTGTTTGGTGACAAATACAAATTTGTAACAGACTTATACCATTCCATGTATTCCTTACTATGTTTACATTCTTCTGACATGACATCTCCTTGTAAGACTTTATGTTCGCGGTTATGCCATTGACGACGCTCCTGTTTGTAACAATCTTTCCAATTGCTATATGCCCATTGGTCGTTCACCAAACTTTTGTGATACTCCTCCATGCACCGTGGAGCATCCGGTATGCCTTGCTTAATGCCAAATTGTAGTTTTACCCGATCAGAATGGTGCATTTTAACAGTAGTAAAACAGATGATAAATGTTTTTGCACTCTACACGTGACTATCGGTCGGATCGGTATCATCAAGTCCTAGATAGGGCCTCCATGTAAACTGTTAAAAAAATCAGTTATTAGTTTAATGAACTATATAAAATATGTAATACTTAAAATATGGTTAAGAATATTACATCAGATTCTTCGAAATGATCGATGAAAGTCCGATAGCCAGGTGCACAATGATGAGGAGTCTTTTCGTAATCCATCACATAGGCAGGCCATCTAAAAAAATGTAATACTTAAATATTGTTCACATAGTAAATAAGTTTAAGACAAAGGAGTAGTTACAACTTACTTGGTTGCGTACGGAAAGTGAAAAGGATTACGATTCCTAGGCGCTAGATTCGGCATCCTGGACCATCCCCAAGCTTGTATTAGTGTTGAACAACCAGAAAATTATGAACATATTTTTTGGCGCATCTACAAAGGTTTCTGTATAGATGCGATAAAACTGCTGATCCCCAACTGTATCTACTTATTTTATTAAAGTCAGCTAGTAATGGTAAATACATTAGATGTATTGTGTTACCATTCGTGTCAGGAAATAATAAACAAGCGAATAACAATAAAATATAAATTCTAGTTTTTTTATGAACTTGTTCTATGGTGGAATCTTGGTTCAAGTCAAATGCATCATATATTTCCCGGAGCCAAGTAATTTTGACGAATTGTCCCTTTCTAGCTCTTTCGGGCAATTCTTCACCCGAGTTCTTGAGTTATGGAGTAGTCAACATTTGTTCTCCCATTCACTGCCAAACCGTTTACACGTAAACCCGTCAACATGAGGACATCTTCAAGGGTGACTGTGGATTCACCGGTAGGAAGATGGAATGTGTGTGTCTCTGGACGCCATCTTTCACATAAAGCGAGAATAAATTTCCTATCCACACCATATGACGTTATGTTGAGAACGTGCCCAAAGCCCGCTTGCATCAGATATGGACGGATCATTTCGTCTACGGGCACATACGAGTGTGTACGAGGCCTAAATTTTTTCTCATTCTAAAAAATAAAATAGTTAATATTAGAATATGGTTAATGTCAGAAGTATATTCTTAAAATTTAAAAAAATTTATACGTAAATATATTCAATACTTACATATTGGAGTATGTTTGACAATGTTCCTCGATGCTCCTCTCCATAAGTTAAGAGAGACATTATAGAAAATTGAGTTTGGTGTAGAATTATGATGAGAAAGAACAAATAAAGATTGAGTATGATGTAAATTTTGAAAAAACGAATAGTATTTATAGAGAAAAAATGTAGGGTTTTATTCAAAATATTTAATGGAAACCATTAAATGGTTGGGAGTAATAACTTTGCATGTATGCTGTTGTTCACAGTGATTTCTGGTAAACAACCGCTAGTCTTCCAAAGTATCGAATAAACTTAATTATTGTTATTCAATTTATCTGGTAACTTGCAGGATCGACTAGATTGATCCTATGGGACATAGTTGTTTGGCTAAATCTAATTGTAAAACTGGTATTCATATTTAGGACTTCTAATTAAAGTGTTTCAAAGACATCCAATCCACTTCCATTACTACACTAAATGATTCGAAGGATAATTTCTATATGATATAAGGAATGTTCATTAGAAAAGTAAAAAGACTTAAGATTGGGTAAATGGCAGGATTAAGTGAGTGAATGTAAAAGTTGATGAATGTTTAAAGGATTCGCACATAAGAAAAGCGTTTAAATGCAGAAAGAAATAAATGACTCTGAATGTAAAAGCTTTAATGTAAAGGCATGAACGTAAAAATGTTTGAAGCACAAATGAAATGGAAATGAAAGACAAAACTGGAAAATATAAAGAGTTTTCATTGAATTGTAAATGTTGGTGTTATCATACGTACATCTTTCGAGCATTCGTTTCCCTATCCATACGGTATTTTGAATGTTTACTGAATTTGTACAACAGATATGACACACCGAAATCCTAACACTAAGACCTCTATTTATACTATTTCGACCATAACGGTCTTGCTGTCAGAATCTGCCACGTTCGAAGCATGCAGAGCATTACTTCCCTCTAGCCTCCACGCGTCCTCGAACGCTCCAACGCTTATGTATTTGAATTTCCAATATCCCGCTCAAGTTTGAATTTCAAACGCCTTGGAACCTTCGTTTCGAATTTGTTTCAAAGGTTATTTTCGAAAACAACCTTCACAAATATAATCTCATCATTATTTCGAAAATTCTTTAGACTTACACTCCACAACTATCATTCGAAACCTTGAACTTTAATATTTCCATTCGAAAAAACAGTCTCTTCCATTCCAAACCATAAAACTTGCTTTATTCAAACAAAGCCCAATCATTTCATTTCGAATCACAATATCAAAATCTTCAGCCAATAAAATGCCCCTTTAAAATATGTATTTCGAACCCTTTGAGAAATACTTATTTTAAATAGATTCACAAGATTTTGAT